TATCTAATTCACATATATCTATTGTACGTACACATGTACTACTAACTAGGCACTGTGCACATAGAAGAAGAAAATTGGATAAACTATTAGCTGGTCATGTGACATAATTGTTTATGCACATATCTAATTCACAGATATCTATTGTGCGTACACATGTACTAACTGGGTATTGTACACATGGATGATGAGAATTGGGGAAACCATTAGCCAGTCATGTGACCTAATTGTTTATGCACATATCTAATTCACAGATATCTATTGTACATACACATGTACTACTAACTAGATATTGTGCACATGGATTAAGAGAATTGGATAAACTATTAGCCAGTCATGTGACTTAATTGATTATGCACATATCTAATTCACATATATCTATTGTATGTACACATGTACTACTAACTAGGCACTGTGCACATGGAAGAAGAAAATTGGATAAACTATTAGCTGGTCATGTGACCTAATTGTTTATGCACATATCTAATTCACAGGTATCTATTGTACGTACACATGTACTACTAACTGGTTATTGTGTACATGAAAGAAGAAAATTGGATAAACTATTATCCGGTCATGTGACCTAAAATTATATGCACATATCTAATTCACAGATATCTATTGTGCATACACATGTACTAACTGGGTATTGTACACATGGATGATGAGAATTTGAGAAACCATTAGCCAGTCATGTGACCTAATTGATTATGCACATATCTAATTTACAGATATCTATTGTACATACACATGTACTAACTGAGTATTGTGCACATGGATTAAGAGAATTGGATAAATCATTAGCCAGTCATGTGACCTAATTGTTTATGCACATATCTAATTTACAGATATCTATTGTACATACACATGTACTACTAACTAGATATTGTGCACATGGATTAAGAGAATTGGATAAATCATTAGCCAGTCATGTGACCTAATTGTTTATGCACATATCTAATTCACAGATATCTATTGTACGTACACATGTACTACTAACTGGGTATTGTGTACATGGATGAAGCGAATTGGAGAAACCATTAGCCGGTCATGTGACCTAATTGATTATGCACATATATAATTCACAGATATCTATTGTACATACACATGTACTACTAACTGGGTATTGTGTACATGGATGAAGCGAATTGGAGAAACCATTAGCCGGTCATGTGACCTAATTGTTTATGCACATATCTAATTTACAGATATCTATTGTACATACACATGTACTACTAACTAGATATTGTGCACATGGATTAAGAGAATTGGATAAATCATTAGCCAGTCATGTGACCTAATTGTTTATGCACATATCTAATTCACAGATATCTATTGTACGTACACATGTACTACTAACTGGGTATTGTGTACATGGATGAAGCGAATTGGAGAAACCATTAGCCGGTCATGTGACCTAATTGATTATGCACATATCTAATTCACAGATATCTATTGTACGTACACATGTACTAACTGGGTATTGTACACATGGATGATGAGAATTGGAGAAACCATTAGCAAGTCTTGTGACCTAATTGATTATGCACATATCTAATTTACAGATATCTATTGTACATACACATGTACTACTAACTGGATATTGTGCACAAAGCCAGTTGAATTTCGGACAGGTGGAAGGCAAAGATGTGAAAGTATCTTGAAACAGGTGCAATCAATCGCCACGGAGTGCCCGACCACGCCCCAAACCGTCCAGTACTGAACTTCAAACAACATGACTGCTTTATTTATACTCAGAGAGCTCCCTAAGTGTAGCAAATATCATATGGTTCAAACTGTCATTGCATATGCAAATCAGATGAACTTAAGAAAGAACAATGACTAGTGATTAAATTTATATAAACTCAAAAATACATTTCTACAAGATCAAATATTGAAATATCATCACAGCTAGTCAATACAGTTTTAATGCAGACTGTGGGATGACTGAGGTGCTGTACTTTAAACTTAAAAACTTACTTTCTCTTAGATGATCCAGTGCAGATAGATGACGAGATGACCGAAGTTCCCACATTCAAGTTCATTGATCGCTCAGAATGGGGGGCACGTGATCCCGTTAGTAGAACCAACTTGGATACGCCTGTGCAGTACGTTATTGTTCACCACACCGCAATGAATCGCTGCTACACCATGGAGGAATGCAAAGCACAAATGAGGGCTATTCAGGTATTGAATAGTTTATCACCAAATATGAAGAACTAATACTTCCTCCATTCACTCAATGCTTCTGTTGGATCATCTCATTCCACACATTTATTTAAAGATAACAATGCCCCAATTATTAATACTGTAGAATACTTTATTTTCGCCATTTCCGCTGAAGGGATGATTCCGTGAAAATAAAATCCAGGGAATATACTTTTTTTTCCTATATTTCACATTAAACTCATCACAAATCAGTGAAAATAAATTCCATACAAAACTCCCAAAAAGCCTTTTCAGCAAAAATTGATAATCTTGATTACACAACTATACCATCAGAAGTATTGTATAGCATAACAACAAGAATTACATAGCACCATAACTACAAGTTCGAAATAAATGACAAGAAAATACAATTTCTCCTAAATTTTCTCACCTTTCTTTATATTGTGTTTTTTAAATACTAGCTGAATTTCTCTATTTTTAATATTAATGATTATTGTCTCGTTTGACACTTGAACATGTTAATGTCACATTTTTTAAATAAACGTCCTAGTTCATATTCATAGTAGACACATTTTAAAATAAAATGCATTTTATCATCATTCCCATTTTTATATTGGCTCTTGTTTTCCACTGAAGCATGACATCATTTGCATAAATATTGAATATATTCAAACACAATGACTGCAATGAGCACTGTCCTTGAATTTAGATAATACCATTTCTATATGATGTGTGCAAACTCAACTTGACCATGCACTACACATTCCATAAAAATGCATTTCTATCAATGTTGAAATCATGAACTTCTTAGGCATGCATCTAATTTTGCCCCTCCCCCTCATATTAGTTACACTGAAAGTGTGTCACACCTGATGTACTTAATTCTTGTTCCATTTTAGAATTTTCACATGGATGTACGCAAATGGAATGATATAGGGTATAACTTTTGTGTTGGTGATGATGGTAATGTTTATGAAGGACGTGGTTGGGATACGGTAGGCGCTCATGCTACGTGGTATAACAATTACTCCATAGGTAAATAGTACATGCCTATTTGTGTTGATTGATCGCTTTTCAACACCTTAAAGTAACAAAATATACATGAGAAAAATTGTTATGAGAAACCATGTTAAAGCAACATTTCATAAAATAAATTAGTAATCATCAGATTATCCTAATATTTTTTGACAACCATCTACTTAATAACTACATATCCAACAAAATTTGGAGATATGAAAATTTTATTTACCCAATGGTAAATAACCCAAAATCACCATTTTCATGGATGTTTGACCTGTGTTTTGTGCGAAAAGTATTTTTATTGGTAATCATATATTTTTATCTGGGTTTTGTGATTAACAGCATAAAAATATACTACTGTATAAACATAAAGGAAATCCAATCATTTGTTTTAATCATAGTTCACAATCATAAACCTTTTTAACACCAGTTCTCTCTTTCATCACAAATTCATAAAATAATCCCATTTATAGTCTGCATTTTTTTCAGAAGATTGGGACAAAAACAGTCAAAATCAGTCAAAACTGAAAATTTACCCAACTTTTGTCTGTTGGCTACAAAATTAGGATTCATTTCCAGAAATATTGAAGATTATAAAAAAACGTGCAGAACAATTTGGGCGAGAAAGTCTGGTGGTGAAAAGGTTAAAACATGAAAACAATTGATCACAGTAAATCATACAAAGATTGTTTTGTGATGATTCACACACATCCAAGTCATTCATATTTAACGTTTTTATGGGGAAAAAAGGCCGTTTCCAAGACAACATATGCAAAAT